CTCTTCCCTAGTCTTTGGATTCTTATTTAAAGAGTACTATCTGGCATTCATGTTCAAGGAGCATTGTTTATTTTATAATCATCTTACTGCAAGGTGTACTGACATAGCCAATTCTGTGACGTGACTAACATTTTATTATTTGAAAGGCAGATAGCTTGCCATTTTTTACACTGTAAATATCACCTTATAGCATTTCCTATTGATTAGCCATTGGGTTCTTCTGCCTAAAATTTGTAAATCCAAATTAAAAGCAAATGCTAGCGGAGTGATGGTTGATATAACTAAGCAACCATTCATTCCTGTAGTGAAGGACTGTATGTGTTTTCCCCTTTAAATACTTGTAAGAAATCTTTTCTGTAGGAATATTAAAGAAACCTAGTCTATTTTATCTTTTCTCTTTTCCCCGAAGGCCTAGCCACACAGGGATGAGGAGATGGCTGAGCTTAAGGACAGGCAGGAGATAAAAGAGATTAAATTCCTCCCAAGCCATTATGTGTCCTACTGCTCATTTCCCCCCTAGGAGTAAGCCGCAGAATACACAAGCCTTTTCGCTCTGACTTTTATGTAGTTTGTACTTGAGTTTTCTCATCCTAAGAACTAAAGTAAAACAACTGAATGGATTTTGTTAACCATTTAAAAATGTATTTTGGATAAAATACAATCTTTCTGTGTTTTTTTTTTTTACCTTTAAATATCGTAGTTATTTATTGTATGTTAGCTTATAATCTAACCTTATTGTTGGTATAGTACCAGCACATAGTAATATTAAATTGAATCATCAAGGGAGTTTTGAGCCTGTGTTTCAAATAACTACTAAGAGGGAATGTGTTTTGAGGTTGGTGAAACCAAAATATTAACTTCAAACTGGGATATTTGAAAATAATTTATCATTTGGAAAAAAAGTATGTATGCATATTAGAGAGACAATAAAAGGCAGTGCGTGTAATATCATTTTTTGTTATTGCTATCTTAGATATCTCGTTAAAAATATTTAACTTCTTAGAGTTTAAAGTGTGCTTATGAGTAGGAAAAGCTTTCTTGCATTTACTTTTTGGGCCAGCTTTTATTTGAATGCAAAGTTAAAATAATTTTATTTCTGAGAACGAAACATACATTGCAAGTGTTTGGTATGTTCATTCATTCTGTGAACCCACATATATTGGACACCTGCTATCCACCAGGTACTACTGTTCTACACTAGAGACTTCTGGCACACAGTTGACCAAGATAGGGACCCTGCTCTCAAGGGTATGTCATTATTCAGCCAAAAAGACAGACACATATTAAATCAGTGACAATGTATAGTGATATGAGCTAATTACAAATATGTACAGCATCCTGTGGGAACACATACAAGAAACTCACTATCTTATGACTTCATAAAGAAGTCCCAATTTTGGTACATTTTTGAATCTCTGATGTCCAAAGCTTATGGTGCTTTGGGCTAGTTATCTGGTTCTTAATGCTAAAACAGTTATTTTATTATAGTGGCTATGTCCTATATATAAACTATGTCCCAAAGAATTGTTTTCTGGCTTAGGAAAAAAATCAGGTGTCAGGACTGTGTGTAAACTCACTTCTCGCAGGGCTGTAGTTTATTTAAAAATTGTCATACTTCATATAAACACAGTGATGATTAATTAACTTCATACATATAAATATTAAATGTCTAGATTAGCATACAGTAGAAGTAACCCCTCTCTGTGGGATTATTGGTTACTCTTGAGAATCGGTACTGGAATTGAGTTGGCCATTAGGTTCTGATGACATCTACTTGTGCTGCTTTTTGATTGTTGCAGTTCTCTTCTTCCTTTTGCAGACCTTTTCAAGCAAGTAGCAAGTTCAACGGGATTTTGTGACCAGCGCAGGCTGGGCCTCCTTCTGCATGATTCTATCCAAATCCCAAGACAGTTGGGTGAAGTTGCATCCTTTGGGGGCAGTAACATTGAGCCGAGTGTCAGGAGCTGCTTCCAATTTGTAAGTTTTTCACCTTAAGTAACATATTTATTCTTTCGTATATTAGAAATTATTTGTTAAAACACAGAGCTCCAGTTTCTCACATAGTTCTATAGGCAGGTAGGTAGGGGATTTTTGATATAAGAAACCTCTGTAGGCAGTGGCTTCTGGGACTCTGGGGTTGGGGAGAGAGGACAGTACAGAGGAAGGAAAAGGAATCTTCGTCTATAGCCAGGACCCCACGGTTCCTAGGGTGCTAGGGAGGAAGGTGGTCTTCAGTGGTTCAGTGAAGGAGGAAATAAATCTCCAGCTGGAGAAATCCTTTGTGTATAAGAAAATGACCTTTATAGGTGAGTCTCTTAGCCTCTTAGTTTTTTATTTTTACCTAGTTCTATCATTATAGACTCCTTTTGAATGTCTGTTGGTAAATAGCTGATACACATTATTTTTTTTTAAAGTTTTCCTTCTGTGGCTTTGACATTTCTCTACTATTCCTTGTCTTATCACAAGGTCGGAGGTGCGTACACTACTGATGCGCATCACTAACTTAATGTACTCTGGTCCATTCCCTTGCTTATTTTGCCCCATTGCCTTTTCCCCACCATAATCCATGCCCCCGGAAACACCCTTTTTCTCCCAAATGCCTGAGCACTCCATTGATAGGCATTTAGATCGTTTGTGTTTTTTCATAAGGTAGGTAATGTTGCAACGAACATCTTTACGCGGTTAGCTCTTTTCTTTGAAGTTTTTTCCTTAGGATGAATTCTCAGGAATAGGATTTACTAGACTAAAAGTTATAAACAGTTTTGTGGCTTTTGATACATATTACCAGATGCCTTTTTGTCAAAAATTGTTTTCTATTTATAATACCACCGGCGCGGAAGGAGTAAGATATTTACAATATCACATTATTCAGCGTTCCTATGTGTATGTTTTTTAAATTGCTAAGAGCTATTTCTCTTATATGGATGTTTCTCAATCCATTCTAATCCCATTAACAATATAACTATATGTAGAGATAACTGGGTTAAACCTGGGCAGAACATTGTGAATATTTAAATATTTAAAGTAGTGCGAGCATTCATTTAATCGTTAACTGGGCAAATTGTCTAAATGCACGTATAAGCTCCCTCATGTAGAGTTGGATATACTATTTGGATTGTTTTGCCAAAATTATGGCACAGTAGCTGTAAATGTAAAACAGGTATGAATAAATAAATGTATTTTTTTCACCTCATACTCAAATCTCCCAAAATATAAGTAGACTATCACTACCTCTAGATTTTTTTTCTTGCATGCTGCTGCATTAATCACAATGCAAACACAAGAAACTTTCATATAATGAATATTAATGGCCAGAAGTAGTCTAGATTCATTCTGGTTTTTTAAAATCCAATCATAAAACAACTTGCAGTGATGTGAGTTTTGTTTTTCCTAAGCACTTAAGTTGCTTTTTAAGTTCTAGTTGTGAAACTGACACACACGTTCATATGTTTGTATATACACACAGTCGCGTGTGTATTGTGACTTGAATTGACAGTAAGGGTCAGAACTCAAACGTGCCGACAGCCATCTCTATTCACAGTTGATTCCTGCATCAGAGTAACGTGGGCTGGCTTCAGGGCCACGGGATCCATTGTCCCGTCACCCTACAGTGCTGCCTGTGCTGCTGTGGACATCCTCATGAAGCCGCCACCATCCCCACTGCACACTCTGGCTCTCTCTCTTCCTTTTTTTATTGAAATATATTTGATATATAATATTGTGTGAATTTCAGGTATACAGTAGGTCCTCACATAACATCGTTTTGTTCATGTCTTTCCTTATAACATTGATGAGATGTCATAAGAACTTAACCATATCAATTAGCCTGTGGTAAAATTGGTTTTGTTATACCTCATTTTGCTTCAAGTCACAGGATGTTAAGTGAGGACTTAACTGTAGAACATGTTGATTTGATAACATTTGTATATTGTAATATGATTGCCATTATAGTGATAGCATTTCTGTCATGTCGCATAATTATCTTTTTTTGTGGTGGGAATAAATTAGATCCAGTCTCTAGCTCTCTTGAATTTGTTTGAAGGGGCCCCTGAACAGAAACTCTGCTTTCCATAGTGCTGTTTCCTTATCCTGTTCCAGGTCTGCTCATTGCATCCTTTTATTGGATACTTGCCTCCTTCCCTATTTCAAGTCCAGCACCTCCAACTCCGACTCCCCATTTACCACCTCATTCCCAAATATGCACTTTTTGATATTATAGTCGATCCTTGAATAACACAGGTTTTAACTGTACATGCCAGTACACACAAGAGTTTTTCAAAAAATATTGTAAATGTATTTCCTCTTCTTTATGATTTTCTTAATAGTATTTTCTTTTCTCTAGCTTACTTCACTGTAAGAATGCAATATATAATGCATATAACATATAAAATATGTGTTAGTCAACTGTTTCTGTTATCTGTAGACTTCTGGTTAAGAATGAGCTATTAGCAATTAAGTTTTGGGGGAGTTAGAAGTTACATGAGGATTTTCAACTGTACAGGGTGTCTGTACCCCTACACCCCATATTGTTCAAGAGTCAGCTGTACTGCTCTCCAGCTTCCCAAGGTGAAATAATAGGCATTTATCCTTGGTCCCTGCTAGAATATGAGGTGCCATAACAAAACAGGGAACATAGAAGAGTTGGCGGAAGAATACTTATTTTAAGAAGTTAAATATTGGCACACTGGATGTTTCTAGTAGAATGTTGTGCTCATTCTATATGTACAGAGCATGATGAGGTTGATATTACTAAGATTTGGGGATCCTCTCAACTTTGTAGTAATTTGCAGTCAGATTAAACAGGTTCATTGTGAATGCCTACTTCAGAATTGACATCCTAGCCCTGGCATGCTCCTCCTAAGCCAGGTGCTCTGGCACGCACTCACCTTGCCTTTCACTGTGCAA